TTGGTCTTACAATGTCTCACGAATTAATTGAAATGTTTGGAAATTCACCATTCAATCCTGGCAACTCATCGTTGATTTTTCCTGACTTGCTACAGTGTTACTTTCCTTCATGTATTCGGTTTATCTGTTTTTACTCATCTAACTCTAATTAAAAAAAAAAATTTCACCACTTTCACTGAAAAGCGAATGATCAATTAGTCGGGCTATTGAAGTGCTGTTGAAGATGAACAAAAAAAATTCGACTGAGTCCCTTTGGAGTGAGTGTCACAGAAAAAATTAACTAAAATTAATGAATGTTTGTTAAATGTCGAGTTAAGTGGGTCGCTGGTGGATTGCAATGCCGAGATAAAAAATAAGGCTGTTTCATCCTTATATTTTGCAACGTCCGTAAATCGAGAACATTAACTTAGCAATGTACGCATGCAGGCACAAAAATGGGGTGTACAAAGGGACGGAAGGATGACGGTGGGAGGTAATAGCCCGTACGAACAGAGTCACGCGGTTAGAAATTACAATTCGAATTCCAGAGGTAGGAGGTTAGATATGCAGCAACTGGCAGTTGACCCTTGGATCCAAGGGGTGGCAAGGGGGTTGCAGAGTTGTGAGAACGCGCGATTCCACGCATTTATACATCCGCACACTGGGACTTGGACCATTCGCCACTCTGGAATTGTAATCGGGCTTTCTATACATGCGTATACATCCATACACCATGGACTTCAATTGCCATCCCTCTGCGTCTCCCATTCTCCATCTACCCTTCATACCATGGGATTCCATTTTAATTAATTTCCTCGATTAACCTCTGGAGAATATGTGGATTTTCGACAATGGTGGCATTGCCGCGTGCTTGGTACGATGCCCCAATTCGAGGGATTGTCTAATAACTCTTGGCGATATATTGAATCGTCAACATGTGGTTAGAATCATATTATTTTTACTTTTCTAATGGCATTATTAAACAAGCAGTTGGCCATTCCTAACGGCAGAAGACATACGATTGCAAGCGGTATATATATTTTGATTGCATAAGATAGTCCACATCAAGACGAATATTTTGAGGGAAAAAGAAATGAAATTGGTTAGTTTTTGAGATATTCATGAAATTAGATTCAGATACAAACTTGAATATCTCCTAAACGAATAATCCGATTGAGCTCATTTTCAATACCAAATATTCCAGTACAAAGGGGAAACTGTACATCAAATTCCAAGTTGATATATCAATTTTGGCGCAGGTGAGAGTGCTAACATGCATTTTTGGCAAAAAACAGAAAAATTAAAATATCTCGAAAAATTTGAACTGTTATATACATTTTGATTACTTGTTATAACTGACATTCCAAGCGGAAGTTTTGGCAATCAAAAAGTGCTCAGAGCTTCTGGTGTCCCGGATGACAATCAAGAAACATATTTTTGTGTGGAGAGATAGTCAAGCCCCTATAAAAGCTCTCCTCAAATCCTGTGCTGACTTTAAGTTGGTCTGGGAAACCATGGGGGAGCCTAGAAAAATTGGGGACCAGCAATAAGGTAACCCTTGCCTGGGTCCCAGGTCACAACGACATCCACAGCAACGAAATGACAGACGGGTTGGTGAAGTAGGTGGTAATATATGCGGACGAGGCTTCGCCAGTAGGAGTCCCCCATGCCGTGGGTGTAAGCCACATAAAGGAAAAGCTCCGACATGAACAATCGGGGTGGTGGAAAGACACAAAGACCTGCAGGAAGGTCAGGGCAATCATGTCTGGCGCCATCAAGGAAAGATCGAAACACCTACTGGCCATGGACAGGAAAAGTCTGGCCACTACGATCAGGCTGCTCATAGGACATGGCACATTTAAAGAACATTGCAGAGTCATCGGCATGGACTCGGATGGGTGGTGCAGATTCTGTAATGAAGCAAAAGAGAATAGTCCACACATCCTATCTGACGGTCCGGCTCTAGCAGCGATGAGACTGCGCTGGTGGGGACCTTCTCCACCGCAAATCAAGTCGCGAACAAGGATGCAACGAATCTGGCAACAAAGGCCGGGCTGGATATATAGTCCGTGCATAAAACAAGCCCAGCTACAATAACTCTAATCTGAGTTCGGAGGCAGTGGGGAGGATAGTCCGACCATCCGCGTACTTAAATCTAATCTAAATCTATAGCTGACATCAAGACGAATATTTTGAAAAAAGAATCATATCGGTTGAATAGTTTTTGAGATATTCCAGAAATTAGATCTACAAACTAATGAGAATTTCTGAAAAACGGCTGGATCGATTGGGCTGAAGTTTGGCACCGAGTTAGTCGTCATTAATACCAATGATTCGACGGAATGACGATTTTTTTGAATTTTTTGAGCCGGTTAATTCTACAATTTTCAAAAACGTGACCACCAGATGGACATCCGCACATACACACGGGATGGTCAAACTTCGTATTTTTAGGTTTCAGACTATTCTACATCCTTTCCAAGCAAAATTGAGAAATCGAAAAATAGAACGATTACAATGCTTCTATTCGGAAGCAAAAATGATCAAAATTGAGATTTTGAGTGAAAACACTTGTGACAATACAAAAAAGACGGATATGCTATTTTTAAATCATGATTGAATGCAGTTAAAAGTGAGATCACGTGCTTTGTTAATCAATCGTTCGCTAACGAACTAACGGATTTTTTTTTCAATTTTAGATATTATTGAACTATATCCCTCGATGTTCATCGAAGCTTCAATTCCAACTTTTTTGGAACTGGCGAAATCTTCTGTAACACTTTCAAAAATTCGTGATGAAAATTTGTATTTTTGATTTTTGCATGTCCTGGCGAATTCCTCTTATCTGAATATTTCATTATCATCTACGTCACGAATATGTATAAAATCAACCGTCGATCGAGTCAACATCAAATTTTGAGAGATGAACTACTGGATTTTGGTGCTATACTGAATATTACCAAAGAAGTAACTTCGGTTTTGTTCGGCTCGACTGGTGGGGAACACGGCCACAAGTGGGGATTTCGGAGAGTGGGGGTTACGGCCGAGGTTACTCCTCTGACAATATTCACTATAACTCGTGCATTGCGCACAAATGATAAAAATAATAATTTGTTAATCGAAGATTCCCTGCCTCCAACAATCGAATCTGAATACCGAGTAATCTACAGCTATGAAACATAAATCAATATTATGCTGGTGAATGAATTTATTGAACAAACTTGAAGATCAAGTAACGCAAGAGAAATTTCACACACTATAACGTTCTACATAGCGTCAGTCGACAATCCATTTGCACTACATTGCAAAGGGTTTAACGAAATTTCAAAGTCCAAGGTATATTGCAACAGTCGTAAAGTCGACCTCGAAGCGTGTTAACGCTGTTTGACGGAGTGGAAATTGAATTTGCTCGTAAACACGACACTACACGCTGACTTTTCCACCACTATCGTTCATGGTTCGTGTTTAATCCTTGCACTGTATTCGTTATAAGTGACTAGAACCCATCTCAATCTTTTACTCTCCATCTGCACTTCGACGTTAAGCAGGAAAACTCGTTAGCGAACTACTAACCAATAATTTGCAAAAAAATCTATACCTATGTGTATATATAGATGACCCCCTCAAAGTACTGCAGAGAGTTGCACAATAAATTCACGTTATCTTGACATTTCCCGGACTCCATGCACTAAAAATATTTTGATGAGGCGCGGAAGATTAAAATAGAAGATTCTAGTGCAGAATAAAGGAAATCTTTAATGAAATCACTTTTTTTAGCAACGGTGGAAAACAAAAAAAATCATTGACCCGGATTAAACGACAGATTCATTTTTCTATGTTGGCCTTTTCACTTGTCATTCCATAATTGTTTGTTGCACAATAAAAATTCACATAAGATACTAATACTCGGCATGTGGTGGAGAGACGCAGATATTTGTACAGGCGAAAGCCCAATAGCTTATTGAAAGTTTAAAGCTACCGCAAGTTTGCCATGCGGCTACTCACCTATGGACCTCTGCACCCCTGCACCCATGCACTCCTGGCACAGAGATAGCATCAGCCTCGAGTATGCACCCCTTTCCGAAGATAACGTCAGTCGCATATCCAACTACACCTACATTCGTATTCCAACTGTTATTAAATCCAAGTCAATTTGACTTTCAATCCGGGGGGACGTCAATAATTTTACCATCGAAACTCTCGACTTCCGACTCTCAGTATCAAAGACAGGAGAAAAGTTAATATTTCATCAAAAATGTGGATGGGGAAATATTGGAGTTTTAATCACAGATGAATGCATGGTCCAGTGGCTTTTAATCAGCTGCAAAAAAAAGGTTCGATGGTTCTGGACTATGGGAGAGAACGTTGTAATTGGCTGGATCTTTTGATTCTGAACATATACTGTAATGATCCTCTTTCATTGAACAGAGTCAGCCGAGATGAAAAATAAAAATGCCATTTTCATTGAACCGAGTGATCTTGCTCAATGAATGGGTTCACAATAGAATGAAAGGGGAAATTTTGTGGTATTGCGAGGTATTATTGCCATATTGTTGGGATTTACTTTATTTTTTTTTTTTCATTCAAATGGTAAATATTCAGGTTTGTCGACGAAGGACATTTAGTGTGAAGGGGTATTAAAAATCACGAGTTTTTATCAGAACATTGATTTTTTAAATCGGAGAGATGCAACTCTGGTTTATTATTCTGACAAAAAAAACATCACAAACTGCCGTTCGTTGAAGATTTTGAAGGGATAGTAGGTGTTTTCAATGGGATAATCATCTTATGGAAGCACTCATTCGATGGCTTATTTAGCACACAGGTTCAACATTTCTCAAAGTTTTCCACGTCCACCTCCCTAAATCCTTCCACGACCACTTTGTATTAATTACGTGATGGAGCAACTAATCAAGGGATAGGGGTTCGGTGGCAAAAGAAAATTGTGGATTGGAGTTGTCGAGTAGAGACTGAAATTTCAACCCTGTTTGTGCTGCTTCATGGGTTTATTATTACATGATTAAATTTATATCAATCTTCCATTCACTTTTTTTCATAATTTTTTCACTTTTTTGTAACAACATTCAACTTAACGATGCAAAGCACAATATAGTGTTTAATACCTTACTTAACATACAATATAGTGACATTTATTCATTTTTTTATTACTAGGTGTTTAGTTAGTATGTGTACATATGAATTACATTGTAATTACAGAAAAATGCTCTTCAATGATGGAGGAATTAATTAAATAGAATGAGACGAAAATAGTAGATTACTTTTCCAATGGTTTTGAAATTACAAGGCTCTTAGAAATATCTTGACAATTCAACTACGTCATTATGAGATCCCCATCGATTGATGGCGAGCCAAAGAACATTTTCCTGATTACAAACTCTTTCAATCTCCATAATTCGTTTTTCATGCGTCAGATTTTTTTTTGAAAATATCCTTATCATTTTTTAAAAAAGTTCTCTATCATTGTTCTTGTCCAAAGCGAGGGACTGAGGCATCAAAGCTGCGTACACTGGTAGTCACCTACGTACGATTCATCTTAATTAATTCGTTATTTACAGGATACAATATCATTTTCTCTCGATAATTATTGGTCAACTGGCTTGAATTTCAAATCGAGCAAGATGACATTTTTTACAATTTCATTTATTTTTCAATAGATTTCCCTCTTGTACCGATCACTCCCGTGATTTGCCGGGTGACGTGCACTATGGATTTACGACCCTTAAACTCCGTTCTTTCATCCGACGATTGTCGGTTTATCGTTGATCTTGGAAGAGAAGTGGCTGCGTGGCACTATGATAGCAAACTATTTGGTCGAGATAGCTTTCAGCAGCCCTTGAGCCTTCAGTGGACCTTCCAAAGCCCTCCCACTCTCTATCTTATTCTCTCGACGTTCATTACACACTTCTCCTATTTTCAGGGTTCTCTATGCTCAACTTCTTTTCATCAATTTGTCTCGACTCATTAATATGATAACTAGTGAACAATTGTGATTCTCGTGCACGAACTACAAATCACACACACTCTTGAATGTTTTTATCATCCAAATTCCTTATGCTGCAATTTTCCTTGAATTTAGTGTAAAATTAAATGATGAGAATAAAAATTTTCCATTTCAATTAGTTGAGTTGCGGAAATCTATTCAAATCCCTAAGCCATTTACGGTTATTGAAAGAGTCTGATTAAGTTACTCAAAGGAAAAAATAAAAGAAGATGAATGAACTTTCGTTCCTGTTAACGCTCCGGGACCCACAAGATGTCCTTCATCGCGGTGATTATTTATTCTACATAAATCAAAAAATAAATCACAACCAGTTGCATTGCAATAATATTGCAACTAAATTGCGAAAATAATTACACAAATTACAAAAATGCCCATGAAATATCTCATTATTCTATTAGATATTGTTTTTAATAGAATATTTATCGCGCCTCTATAACTGAAAGAAGCAGGGGAGAGTGAACTTCGGAGAGAGCTTCTCATTTATAACTTTTTCGGGCTAAGATTAATTTCTTCGGTATTGGACAATTCATTAACTTTTCCAGATGAATTACATGAAATGGCTATTAACTTTCCCGGAAGACAGCTCCTGGGCTAAATAACTTTCTGTAGCTTTAGTCGGTTTGTGCACTCACTGGGCGAATTATTGTCCCTCATGTCAAGTCACTAGCTGTTGACGTTCCTCTTCTGGGAACCTTTTCTCTAATCCGATGCAGATGGACTCCTTGTTGTTTCACCGTACGAACGCACCTGTTGCACTTAGCTAAAACTACTTTACTGAATAATGGATGTCCCCTGGCGCTTCACGAAAATAACTCATACGAAGTTGATTTGATGAACAATCTGGTGATCGAGTTCAATGATGCGTTGATAATTTCATTTGTTCATTCGAGTTCTAGGAGATATCGATCGATTGTATTTTTATTTTATAGTCGAGGAGTTATGAAGGAGAAGGCGTCGAGCTGATGGTTCCTAGTACTTTTTTCCTGAGATAGTGTAAGCTCGAGAGTATTCTGGCCCTGCTCAATACCTCCATCCAATCTTCCCTTATTTATTCTCTCGTACTTTCTGTTATCCTCCGCTATGAGCAGGATTTATTGAGCTTGCATTGTGTGAATTCTTTCGTATATTTAGCGTCGATAAACTTTCATAATTTTTGGCGCATTTGTATATTTTTATATTCCTTGCGCCAGCAATAATTCTGGTTTGTAAAGTAAATTCCACCATATACATCAGATTATGAATCCTTCTCTGCGAATTCATGGAGAGAATCAGCTCCAGCTGACAAAGCACCATTTTAAAACGAGTCGAATCCACTGAACCGAATGTAGAGAATTGCTCAGTGATAATTTTCGTTTTTAAAATTTCAAGAGTTTGTGCTATATTTTGATCAAACATTAATCTTTCTCCTCTTGTACATTTTCTTTGGTTCCTCAGCGAGTCTCTCAGTTCCGAGTTCTCTTCGACCCAGGGAAAAAGTCGATGAAGGAGTTAAGGGCGCATCGGTGAAGCGAATCTGACGTTTTAATCTCAAGCATGCAGATGGGTCCAGAGTGCATTTTACAAAAACTCGAGCGTAACGGAGGGATAGGATGAATATTGGAAGATGAGAAGAGCAAGCTGTATGAAATTTCGATATTTGCGAATGTGAGAGAAACTTTGGAAAATGTTGGTAGCAGTGCGCAAAGAGAAATTAATTTCTCCTTCAGTTTTTTCGCTCCTATTTCACCAAGTAGAGAAATGCTCAGTGTTCTTGGTATTGAGAAAAGGACAGTGATGAAACTAGAAAGGGGCGGACTCTCCAATTAAACGAAAGAATTTGTGTTTCTGTTATCATTATGATAAGTTGTGTTTAATCTGTAGACTAGTGAAGCAAACTCGGATGTTTTTTGGTCTGTAATTTCGAAATAGAAATTTCACCTGTGTCTCCATAATGTAATTCATTCTTCATCGTAGGAGTATAATATCACGTTCGCATGACATAATAATGATTTGAGATATTGTTTTCAGAAGAAAAAAAAATCAGAACACTGCATGAAACAACTCTTCTCATTATAGTTTGCCCAATGTATCACAAAACAATTTGAAAAAAAAAAACAACGCTCGACCCATAACGTTTTCCATTAAACCACAAATGCATATACATTATATATTCTCCTCTCTTTCCGTTTTCAACGTATCTCGACAACGAGACTTGCAACATATTACACCAAAAGCGAAGATCGTTGCATTTGCTGCCAACAATTCTTCCCAAGTGTCTCTGCCTTCTAATTAATTCTACTACATAATTGTAACTTCTTGACATTACCTCACTGACAATATCTCTTCCACTCCAGAAACGATGTGTTGACCCTGACATTGCTGTTGGCACGACTTACATTATATCCCTCAACATTCATTCACAACCTTTTTATTCACGTTCAAACAGCGCTAACTACACAGTCTCAGTCTTGTCATCTTGTTTCCTAATTCTCTCTATAAATTATCGTTCAACCGACACCCAATGTTCTCAAGCGATTGCATTCACCACGGAAGAAACATTGATGCTTATTTATCGGATGATCCACGTTGAAATAAATGTCACTGTAAGCAGTCCTGATGTTACTCGCGATAAGCTAACAGCTCCACCTGAAACAGAAGATTATTTTGCAATAATTTTCATAATAGAAATTAATTTTTAATTTTTCGTTATTACCATCATTAAAGAATTGTTAGGGGGTGTTTAGGAAATGTATATTGTTTGGTGAAATATTCTTCTCGTGAAAGTCATCGACATGCCCTCTGGAGTGATCCGGAGTGATCCTGAGTAATTCTTCCCAAACTCATGGTGTTATTGACAACAACGTCAGCTTTCTCAACCTCATCTCTAATTATGAATCAGAAACAACGATCAGGCGCGCCAAGCTTTGGTAATGGCGTCTCGTCTTTGCCCTCGTATTCTGCAAGTGAGTTGAGACTAAAAAGAGGGAGAAGAATGAGGAGCGAGAGGAGCGAGAGGAGCGAGAGGCTCCAACCCTCAGGCATCCCCCGGGACTTTCATGCTCCGCAACTTTTCTCTGTCTGCCTTTCCTCACCCCCTCGTGAGCTACCTCAGTTATTCTTTTTTAACTTTCTTTTCCTTTCATTTTTATTTCATCCCTTTTCCCTATTCCCATTTTTTTATTCCTGCTCCTGTTGAGAGGAGACTCAGACACAATGCGATTTCAAACTCTTTCAAAAGTTTCACCACAATTAGATCGTTTATGAGCGTACCCTTGCATCTCGCTTGATTCATAATGATTCTATTGAGCGAGTGTCACTCATAATTAGCCTTATTTATCAGAATGGAGAGACATCCACGATATTTGAGAATTTCAGTATTTGCGGACATAGAAAGGAAATTATCTGAAAATTCAGGTACTGGAAAAGCACTAGAAACTGGGGGCGAGTTAATAATTGGCTCATAAAATATAACAATAATCTATTCAAATTTATGGGATGGCGTCAGCGAATAAGAATTGAGAATCAATCATTGTTTATGATTGGAGTTTTATCTGGAGATTTCAAACGAACACGAGAGAAAATCATGTGCTGTTGCAGCGATGAACCTTAAAATATATAAACAATATTCATTGAGATAGCAGAGTAGAAAGACGGATAAAATAAGAAGTGATGTGAGGCAAAAAGTCAGTAGGAGGTCCGACGACAGTGAAACGTCCCGTCGCCGTGTTAGCCAGGTTTCTCCAAGCCATTTTTTCCCTGAAGAATAGCACCTGAGTTCAAGACAGACAACCACGATAACCCCGGGGAAACTAGGGCTTGCGTGCATTCTACCATTATGGAAATTTTATTTCCAGCGAAATTGCTATATCGTGGAAGCAGCGACTATGACCAAGGAGCAAAATGTCCAATATCCCTCGATGCCTCCTGGGGATTTTCAAGTCTTGAGAATGAACGCTTCTAAGTAATTTACATCCTCATGTAATATGAAAGTGAATTTGTTGGAAAGTGAGAAATTGCAGAATTCTCGTTCGACAAGGAATTGGGTCTTAATGCTTTATGCCCTCAAAAGTTGTCGAAGATATGAATGCAATTGTCAGAGATTACATTGTGCCTCGTGGTTATTGATCCTCGAATTTTATAACTTGTGGGTTACCGAGGGTTTTAAGATGTTTGCAGATGCGGATGAAACGCTGGCAGAGGCTGAAGGATCCTCCTGAATTTCTTAACCACTCGCTCGTAGTTTGTCGGGTGAATGAGAAGAGGGAAAAGGGGGAAAAGGGGGCAAGTTGGATAGGCGAGGTAGACAGACAAATGGAAACTTGGAAGTTGAAGTTGTCAGGAAGCCCGATTAAGCCACTGCATTCGTTTTCTTATGGGGCATTCGTACTTTTCTTCAGGCAAACTCTCACCAGTGCTTTCTCACCTAAATTTCTCATCACGACTCGCGCATTGTGGTGAAAGTTTTGGTCCATGATCGGGATGGAAAACGTGGGGCTATCAGGCAATTAATGGTGAGCAAGTGTTGTTGGAATTACATCATTTATGGGGTGAATAGCATTTTTTTTTTAATGGAATTTTTAATGTCGAGGGATAAATATTCTTACCATTGTCAGATGTCCATTTGTAATTGCCATTTCTATCCCCGTTGTTAGATTTTCGTTCTGATTTGTCGACTTCGTTGAGATTCAACTGGGATTTTCCTGCAAGTAGAAAACACCAGCGAATGGTCAGACTTGGTGCAAAGGGAAAGTTTCCACTTGCTTCAGGAGACAAATAAATTTTAACTATTAATACTTAAATTATCTCTGAATGAAGACCATTATTTTTAAAATATGGATTCATGTATTTTTTGAATATATATTTTTCAAAATATAAATTTTTTTTCGCAGCAGATTTAACCTCAATTTTGGAAATGTCCTCAGGGTACTGATTTTTTATCGCCCAAAAGAGGCCATATTTATTTACTGCGCAGTGTTTAGATAATTTTATTGTGGATTTTGCACTGGGTTTATGGAACTAATCATTCGTGTGGTAGCTTGAGACACTGATTATGAATTAACTTGGCAGAGCATGAGGGAGAGGACAAAAGGGCACTTAGTTGTACAACCACCAGAATAACCCTTGACCCAAGATGCTTACGCCTCTCGTAACGTCGAGAGCCAGCGACGCAGTACGACGCCCCTCAAGGTAACGCGGATGCAAACTTAATGCAAACACAATTCTCTTAACCACTTCCGGTGCTTGGAGCAAGTGCAAGTGGGATGTGGTACTTTAGTCGACGAGTAAGTTCCTCACCAGTTTTGACGTCGTTTCGGAAATCCGACCATCTACGCTGTTATCCAATATTCAGTTTTACTCGTGCACTCTTTCGGAACTCGCGGAAAAATTTAAAAACTCATCTCCGGTTCTCCTGGAGAAGTCCATTGGGTTTCGGAGGAAGCGGTAATTGTTGGAGGGAGTTGAGTGAAATGAATTTATTCTCTGGAGATGATATTATAATGTTTACCGGAAATTACTTGAAATTTAATATTTATTTGTAGGTATAAGAATATAAAGGGTGCGTAAGGATGTTAGCCGTGCAATATTTCGCGTCCGATGAATTTCAATTCATTATCCATTCGATCATGAAGGTATATATCAAATATATTAAGTTAAGCTAATAAAATTATTTATATATTTATTTATTCCAGCAAGAATTACGAAATTTGTTCCGAGTGAGCTAGGAATCTCTTCATCATAAAACAAATCTTCATCCGCAATAAGATTCCTCCCTCCGAACAATAAATATACTGACCATTTCGCTCATTAAATTGGTCTCATTAGGTACTCCACCACTTGCCCCCGAACTAGCCACAGCCCCCGCATCATCATTATCATCACCATCATCATCAGCGCCCCATATCTGTCAATTCAGCATTAGTCAACCCAATTTCTCGTACATACCCTCCATTACCCGATCGAGTTTGTTGATTGTCAGTACATACCCTCTAACCTCATCTCCCGCGTCAGCGACCCCCCATCATCTCAAACACTTTTACTCAGCCCCAACAATCGATTACTTTGATACCCATAATTGAGGCCCTTCATTCAACCATCCACCACGAGAATTCGATTCACTCGATTCAAGCGGCCGGGATCGTGTCAAACAATAGCTTCTCATTTCGGGCACGATAATTGGCGATCAAGCGCAAGCACATGAGTGCATGTAGCTAGGCGTACTGTGTTGTTAGAGAGCCAGGAGTACCTCAGAATTCTGTGTACTGTCTACAACGCGCAATGGGTTAAGAGACCCATGCAAATTTTGGCCAAACATAATCCAGTGACAGTGTTATATGCGCTCGCGCAATGCCCCTTGGTACATGTGTCATGTGGAAGTGCCCGTGTGAGAATGGGTGCCCTATCCACCCAGGGGGTAATCGGGGCAGTGACTAGCTAACCTCGATTATCCAGTCTAAACCATTGTTGTGCCACTGGTATGAGGTTAACTCGGTTTGTCCAAGGGACACAACGCCTCAATCCATCTACCAACGTCCAGAAGTGAGCGGTTAGATCTTGTCAGGTGATTTTCATGTTAACGGTCTGTATCATATTGCTGGTTATTCTTTTATTTTCAATAATAAATTATCAAGCTCGGCATCGTTATCATTTACTTTGAAAATATATGAGTAAATTTGCTAAATGGCCTATCGCTAAAAAATTCATGACAATCAACCGAATTTCCATTACTCTCGCTAATTTTAGATGTCGCAGACTTTCAGGTAGAGCTTAGAATTTTAATCCTAATTCCACTGTAAATTGGATGAGTCAAGAGAAAACTATAATTGGAAGTATAAATTATACCGATTCTGTGAGGAAATAGCTAAAAACTAGCACTCCTGCCGCGCCAAGGATTACTATTAATACTATTAGCTTGAAGCGCGACATCGGTGAATGTGGAAAGTGAAGTCCCCATGGGGACGTGTGCCTTATTGTGCAGTAATTAAAATTGCTTCGCTCACTAATACTCGATTAAACAGTTATTATTACGCTGTTATGTCCGATAGCACGGAAGGGAAGTCTACATAATTCCATGTTATTTAACACTATTGCCAAGGATTACCGGTTCTAATGAATGTACACTAACACGCTATTGACGTTCAACAATAATGAATCCGCTCAAGGATCATAATTACGTTATCACTGTAATCACTGATGCTGTTAGAAGAGATAAATGTCAACAGAAGACGTAACAATGCACCGACAAGTGGTTTGCGCGAGACGTGTGGTATTGCCAGAAATCACTGATATAATAATGTCACATTAATATTATTTCCCCCAATGTCTGTTTATATTTTGGGTTGATTGAACCTAAGTACTAAGTAATATGAATTTTCCAATTAACTGCTCTTTCAGTACTATGATATTTGTATTGGTTTAATTGAATTGCCTCATTCACTCTTAACATAAATTGTTGATTTTGTCCATGTATGATCATTTCCGAACATATGAATTGATGTAGTTCACATAATGTTTTAAATAGTGTTGTAAAATTTCACTTCGTTTACTTTCCCACTTTGCACATGAAATTAATTATATATTGAATGAAATAAAAAATTATCATGCCACTCTGCCCGAAAATTACTCTCGAAGTCTATAATGGATTGAACGGTAAATTTCGGTGATATTGATTGTGATATTGTGAGTGTCGTGCGTGAAATACGTACGTGGGAATAGTAAGTGTAGTTAGTCTCTTTGCGGACAGCGGGGATGAAATTTGGGGTTGAATCGGAGAATGGGTGCATGGTGAGCGAATGAGAAGGGTGGATGGGGTTATGAGAGGGAATCACACGAGGGAGCAAACATTAATGGCACCCCGAAGACCGCAGATGTTGAGCCAATTACAAGCCTCCTCCTATCCCTTTCTCGCCTCTTTCTTCTCTTGCACTCTACACCAGCGGCCAAAGGGAGTCCCGTGCAGTGAAAGCCGTTTCTCCAGCGGATACCGACTTACACCGAGATTCTTCGTCGTAGTAGTAATTTGTAAGTGCAATCCACCCGCTTGTACTTCCCTGTTGTCTTCACACTCTACCATGTTCACCTTTTCATATTTCCTTGCCTCAGTAATATTGCTCCACGTGTTTGGGTTATAAAAAATTACTTCAAAGAGATGAGGAAGTGGATAAAAAGTTCGAGGGGGGGCATTTAGGAATATTAATAGGTTTTCACTTTGACGTTTAAACTTTTTTGTTGTTATTAAAGTTTGGAGTGATGTGGGAGTGATGGTGGCGAAGTCAAATTATAAGTTTTTATATTTTTTGAGAGTAATGAAAATCAGGGGAATCTATCAAGTTTTTTTATGGCTAATTCTGGAATTAGCTTGGTAATAGGGTAGTTCGAACGTAATTACCAAGACTTTTTTCACTAAAAAGAGCGATGCTTGACATACGTGTTGTTTTAGACGGACGTATATGAAAAATCAATTATTAACCTTTACATTGGTGAGTCTTATTCGGTGCATTGCCCATTGTTAATTAAGTAAAACCTCCACCTAGTTCAGCATTCAATATTCATTCAGTCGCAGTTAATATTTCATACTCAGTGTGAAACTACTCATAATCGATGCAAAGAATCGATGCTTCTATTCCATTAACTTTTCAGTTCGTAAAAGATAGAGAACAGGTGGATAATCTTTTAATCTTAATGGCAATTAAATCTTCAAACTGAATTTCCGATATTTAAAATAGCCGAAAAGTTATGAAAAATCAACAAATACAAATGAATTATCTTAAAAATTCAGATAAAGATTTTGAGTGCTGCATCCCAGGTGCACGGTGGGCGCCTAATAGAATAATCAACGAAAAAATTCTCGCGCTATCGGCATTCATCAATCACGGAATTATCCAGGGGCACATATACAGCGAGGAAAGACTTGTTACAAATACACAGACTGTTAATAAATACACCGCGAGACATGGGTATACTGTTGCCCGCCGTGTGTAGACAAAGTGTTTGGGTGTGTGTGTGTGTGTACCCTGGATGCTGATATTATTCTTGGGCCTTTCCCGGGGCTGGAGCATTATTAGTTCTGGCGTGTTAGCATACATGAAATATTGATGTTACATTTCCTCCCTTCGCAGCAGTATAGCCGGGGTTGAATTCCTCCCTCTTTTCACAGCGGTTGTACTCTTCCTTCAACCCCCAACCCCATGATCCTCCCAATCTCACCCCTCTCTGTCGCCTATCCACTTGGGCTCTGTACTTAGAGCTGAACTTTCTTGTGTCGTTTAAGGTGGGCGCGCCCCAATTGCCTCAAAGCCACATGGCGAACCCTGTGCTTGTCATTATACTATACACCAAATTCCCCAGAATATGGAAACTTTTATATACCAGTTAAGCATTGTTCGACATCTTCCTCGGAAAATGTGTAAAAACTATATACAAGCTGTTGAAAATTTGGTAAATCTCTAGTTCAGGTCCACCACGCCATTCTAGTGATTATATATTGGATTGCATGGGTTTCCATCTTCTGATTAACGATCTTGATTTTGATTTTTTTTTCATTGTCCATACGAAATCTTCACCCGTTGTAAGTCTCTAATTTATGAAACAGCATTAGAACATTCGAAATTTCGCGGAAAGTGAATAGAATATGACGGCCACTCTACGTAACACAGAATAAAAATATTACATCACAATATCATAATGGAAAATATTATTGGTAATAATGTTATACCTTCTGAATATCGCAGTGGAAAATGTTATTAATAGAAATAGCAGACACTCAAAACATCACAATCATTCAATTCTTATTCGCCCTTTCGTTGGCTTATGACAACATTTTGATCCTTTGCTTTTGTCCTGCATTTGATTTGTGGAATTGTGGCTTGCCCAGTCTTCTATTTATTGTGTTTACTTAGATATCGATTTTCCTGTTCTCTGCGTTTGTTATTTTTAATGGGATGTTATTTCTCAGCAGTAGCGGAAAAAATATCCCCAGAAAAAATATCTCCGGAATAAATATCCCCCCGGTCACGCGTTTCATCCCCGTTGCTCTTCTGTCTTTTTGTGCCTAAGGACTGCAAAATGGGGGAATCCAGGGGAGAAGCCGAATGGCGGGGTTTGACGCCCCTCCACCCGCCCAACTTCCGATAAAATACTGTTACGTCAGGACGTACAAAATTATTGTTAAATACTATTGAAAAATGAATTTCCAGTAGAACCAGTAGAACAATAATAATTAATAAATAATTATTAATTTAAATAAATAATAGTTACTAAAAAAAAGGGATCAAATTGAAAATTCCAATACTTGTTTTACAAAAAATAAAACAAGTGGGCATTTCAACATGAGAATGTTCATTTAAAGGTTCTTAAGGTTCTCAGGTTAGACAATAGAAGAAATACATTACCAATGGGGCGTATCACCCTTGGTATCAAGTTACCCTTAAAAACAGTCGTACGACTGTCTCCAAACGAATCCCTAGACCCTTACCTCATACCCCGAAATCCTCGTCAACCTCCTCCCGCGCCAATGAGTGCATTACACAACCTACCCCCCCTTCCCAATCTCTTCGCACCCACATTACCCGTGCGTCCAATTTCCCAAGCAAAAATTGCTCCCCTTCCTTCAAAAAAATGCATGGGCATCATGATTCCCCACCCCCATACAATTATTAATTGGTGTATGAATTAACATACACCAATTAATAATTGGTTCTAAAGGCGTCGTCAAAGATACTGACCAGTCAGTTCCGCTTGGACATGCAAAAGATTAAAACTTTCAAAATCTATACAAGTATAGGAGTGGTGCAAAATGGAACGTGTATTCAGGATTTTATAAGGATTAATCCGGAATAGGGACCTGACATACTCAACTTTAATTATGAAAGGGGAATCAATTACACCACGACCCATGGCCCAATCATAGCAGGACCCACACACAGCTACAAGGATTCACCTCAGAACACCACAGAAAGAAGAAGGATATCATTCACCTGGGAAGATTAAAGGACAACGGGAAGATCTAACAACGGAAGATTATTAAATAAATTAACCAAGGAAGATTAAAGGTTCGTAAAATTAATTATTATTAATAAGTAAACAGTGCGCGTATAAATGGAAACGTTCGGAAGGTTATTTAAATTATTATTTTGCGATTTGAAATTATTTTTAAATTCATCGATTAAATTAAAATTTCATTATTTGTGATTTAGATTTTTCATTTATTCGAATTTTCGAATGATTACTTAACATGAATTAAATAATTTTGTGATCATTGGATTTATCTCCGAATTATTAATTAAATTAGAATTGAAAACATTTTGTGATTTCTATTTATTAGAAACGCCGAATCATTAATTAATTATTTTGCCATTTTATTTCATTAACAATTCCGAATGATTAATTAATAAAATCTCAATTATTGGCGATTTTTTAATTATCAAAAATTCCGAAGTATTAATCAATACAACTTCTAATAATTTTCGCGATTTAAAATAAACAATTAATTAATTCAACCTTTTTCCCTGAAGGAAGGAAAGAAAAAAAGGGCCGAATATTCCAGAGACCTACCTGAATCAATGCTCTTGAATTCGTAATTTTTCTTAAAAAGGTTCATTCCCAAACTAATAAAATCATACTAACGTATAAAGTATAAAAAAAAGAGCGAAAGAAAAAGAAAGATAAGAAAGGGAAACTCGATCAATATTGTCATTTAAAAACCTCTTGTTCCTACGAAATTCGCTCCCTTAAGGTTCAATTTCAACCCCTCAAAGAATTTTTTTTTCAAATAAATGTGATTGAAATTCTGAAAAGTTAAATTTTCCAATTATTTAAGGGACCGAATTTGGTAGTTTAGATTTCCATGTATTAGAAGGGGAATTAAATTCATAATCAAAGTTCTCTTGATGTCTTATTTCAATTCCTTTAGGCATTTACTCCGATCCCAAGCTATTTCCGGAAGGTAGGCTTAAAACCGGAGAAGCTAATGGACATAGTTTTGCGTTATATATTTGATAATTATTATGAAATATTTAAGCGAAAATGTGTCGTAACAGTCCATTAAATAAAAATTTGCAAGGAAAAGAGATGATGCAATTCCATGGGGAATTGAACCCACGTTTTCTAATTAAGATTTTTCTTGGGGATATTTTGTTCGGAGATTTTTTTTCCGAGGATGTTTTTTCCGGGGATATTTTTTCCAGCGATGTTTTTTTCGGGATTCACTTCTCAGTGTAATACGATTGTTGTGTGCTATTTAGAGTGATAACGATAGAAAACTAGAGAATATCAGCCAATGCGACTGCTGATTATCTTTCCGCGACTGAATTTCAACGAATCGCAGTGCACTGCTTGAGGTCATGATGAGTGTAACTCTATACTCTTTTTAATTCATGGCCTGGCTAAGATCTCGCCCCAAAAACGATCCTATGGATGTTGAAATATAAATTTTTAATGAAGAGGTGGCATCTATCGTAACTCTCTGTCGATAAGAATAAAAAAAGATAAGTACATGAGTAAATAGTATTCCTCACCCGTCTTCGATGTTTTCCCATTATGAAAAGTCAACGAACTCGGGTAGCCGTCTATCGAATTGTTCAGCTCTGTCAATACGTCCCAACCTGATGGTAAAAGGATAAAAAAAGGGATATATATATAATAAAATATTACTGTTAATAACACCCCGGAGATTTTTCTGAGGTGGTTTATGTACTCTATATCTTTTCCTTCCACTTCGCTCACCTTTTCGCAATGGCTCTGTGGTCAACGGACCGGGGCTTGTGCTCGGTGGTGTAGACACTGCAACAAGAGAAAAAAAGGTTCTTAACCTCACGGAAAAAAAATCGCTGAAAAATTACCGGGTTCACACCTCGAAGTGGGTCTCAACGATTCTGTCACGGAATTTATCGGAAGAATAACTACAGGTCTTTCTGTGTTCACCATTTCATAAATATCCCAGGAATATTTTTATAGAGTTGTCATGCATTAAAATTTTTCATTCGTTTGGCCTCAAATTTATCCTGATCCTTGGAGATTAATACTTTCCACTCCAACTGTTGAAGAATTTTGTATATTTTATCGTTTTTTTTTTCACCTTTTTTCTATCATAAAAACGACGCATAGAAAATGCTTCTTAAACCCAAATATCTTATTTATTCAATAAAGGTAAATCCGTTTACTCGTACCAATCAGAAATGTTCACTGATTTTCTTACTAAGGAATTGTTTTAAACAATTTTTAAATTTAATGAAGAACGATCAGTGATGAGATTTAATTTTGTCTCTTGAAAATCTGAAGAGTATACTCAGCAAAACTAAAAATCGACTAATCCATCCGCATGATCAATATCACTCAGAAAAGACTGAAATATTTCCAAAAAGTTGGGAAAAAAATGAAAAAGAGGCAGCTTCATACACGTGCGTACGTGTGAAGGCCAATCATCAATCAGAAACAACGAGAAAGCAAAGTTAAATGGGCGGAACAACGGGTTTTAATATATACCACGGAAAAATAAGAGTTGGAGTGATAAATCAAAAGTGGAAAGTCACTGTCCAACTCTCTCGCCGTGTCTGCCCCACCACTCACTCCCAAACGAACGGAATGGCGACTCGTCTCGTCTCTTATTCCTCACCCTTTTTTCACCCTTTTTCCCATTCTTCGTTTCACTCTATCTTCAATGTTCTCCATTTCCCTCTCCTGGGCATCACCCTCTGCTCCCATTACTCCACCTCATCCTTCATCTGTCCGACGTTGGAATTTCGTAAAAGTGATAAATCAATCTTTACGTTGGTATACTGTGTTTATATCACTTTATATCATTATCGGCGGCATCGGTGTAATTTTAATTCCCTGAGTTAAACGAAACGCTGCAATCACCCAATAAAAATCCCCTTCAGTAGGGAAAATAATTATTTATTTTCCACTGATTACCTCTCAATCGATTGCCAGAAACCAACCAGCTTGTGTATACAACCCTCTCCGCCAGTATAACTTTGCAAATTGCGCGATTAGTGGTGATTCGATATAAAGTATTCCCTGCATTTTTTTTTTCAATCCCAGTAATTTCCCAGGATTTTTCTACCCTTTCGACCATCCCCACAGCTCGTTAATTCGTTCCTGAGACTCGTTGGAAATTCAAAGCCCCCCTCCTCAGAGCGAGAGAAATCGCAGATGAAAGCATATGACAAATATTTCGTCGTGCAAGAGGAAATGCGAGCAGGAATGAAAGGACGAATGATGAAATTAGGAATAACTATTCAGCATTGCTAGTCAGCCCATTTCAACTATACTCACTCGGTTATACCCCAGTTTATGGTTTCGTACGGAATGAAATATGATTTAGTAGTTTGACCAGTACCCACCCCCTTTGCCTGTACATACTTGCCGTAGGCTAATACATTCTCGTGGGTAAAGTTGGTAACAGGTGGTGCAATCCATAATAGCAAACCCAAACTACCCGACTACACTTATAACAACGTGTATGCCCCGACTAGCCTTACACATCAGCTGCACTCTTAAAAATAGCAATTAGCAGTGAAATTCCATTGTCAGTTGACGATAACTTTTCAGACCGTATGAAGAAAAATTTACAATAAAATTAATTTGGTGTTTAATGAGGAGCAGTTGGTTCACATAAATTCATTCCTCAATGTCAATTACGAAAAATCCAAGACTCACTTATTTTTGAAAATTTAATAAATGAACTCCGCGCAATCTCAAAGTATTTCAAGTTTGTGATTCCTCCATCCGATAGTTGTGCACGTTAATTATATGTTTGAAATTCAAATGATATGAGTTTCATCTGCATATTGACGACGGTTTGATCGGTCAATCGATAAATCATTTGACTTTTCGATCTGTCTATTTCGATATCTGGATTTCTCCTCTGTTTCTTCCTCCCCAATATTCCACAGTGTTCAAATATGAACAAAAGAGGACTGATCAAAATACATTATCACTGTACGACAATTTTCATCGGAATATTCCAACCCTATTACAAACTGTTCAATTTCAACGTTCACACCAACGGCATTCGGATTACATTAGTCATGCATAAATAACTGTAATCTCTTTATCAACAATTTTATGGATTCAATAAACCGTTAATCTACTTTTAATATCAATTAAAATTGGCAGTGCGCATGGAGAAATATGGGATAGGATTTTCCGGACAAGGATCAATTTGAAAAATCCATCTATTAAAGTCCTCGTCGAATGATTATTTCATCATCAAAGTCCTTGTCAAGAATCAGTATTCTGTAATTGTACCTTTGCGGCCTCGATTTTTCCTTGCTTTCCTTCAGCCCTGCATGCATATTCCACTGCAACACGCTCCATCGTGGTTGGTTAATTTTCCATGTTGCGTCGTCCATTAATCTTACGAAAAGTAAGGGGGCAATTTTTATCCCACTGAAAAGGTCGCCGCTATTTTCTCTATTTTCTTCCGTCGTCTGGACCTCTCCCCTTGCATATTATTTCCACTCCCTCCGATTAACGATTGATTACCGGAGCAGCCGCAATATGAGAAGCATGACTGGTATTCAAATACTTTTTGCATTATTATTTTCTCAAAAGGAGTGGAAGATTCTGGTGTTTTTCATCTGCTCTCTTTCTCTGATTCCCAAGGGAATCCAATGAGGACACCGGTATGTATATATATATATCAACTATTGATGAGACTCAAGATGAACTGCAATAGATTCATCGGTTTGAGTTGCATCGCGAAAATTAGCACGAGGATAGAACACCTGTGACCCTATATAATTATTCCTTTACACCAATCGGGTTGTTTAAAGTATTTTGCTATGACTCTGCTTTAGACAAATCTTTGAAGTCTTGCTGCAAATACACTTAAATTATTAGTGCACCTGTGTTTAGTAATGCTCAATTGATTGGTGGAAATTTCATTATCCGCAGGTTATAATACAATGGGTGTAGGATTTGAGTCGATCATGACGATGAGAACTGTTTCAATCAGAAAAAAATTGCGCGTGAACACCCGAGGGATAAATTCAATGGAATATTTTTTTAAATAATGGATTTATTTATGAATTATTCGAGATAAGAATATTTCCGTAAAACAAGCATTTGTGATAATAAAAAAAAGCATTATTGATAATTTGATAAATGGTGCGAGAAAAAAAAATCCCGCAATACAGCACAGCTCGGTCTTATATTTTCAAGTTGAAAAAATAAAAAGTGATATATTGTTGATCTACTCATTTTTCTATGCAATAAAAACTGGTGGACAGAAGAATTTCGAAACAATTGCACCCACTCTTTCTGCAAAAGTTCATCACAAAATTGTTAGAATTATTCATCAAAAAGTGCAGTCATCCGAAGAGGAAAATGAATTTAAAAAAAATGGACAAATGCCATAGACCCAATGAATGGAAACACATTTGCAACGGAAAATAATGCGATTATACGGAGGAATGCATCGCCCAACACCGTATTATTCTGAAAGACTAAGCTTTCACTGGTGAAAAAAAACCACAAACCATTCAACGCAGTATTATGACGAAAAAAATACCATAAAAGAATGTCGCACTCTGGCCGAATCTGTCCCACAATTTTTCCAATCAAATCGCCCGGATGTGTGCAGCCACAGGGTTCACTCGGCTTATCGAATCAAATCGAAAATTTAGCCGCATTCAACGGGATGAGTTTTCGGGAGAATATCTGGACGGGATGCAAGCAACATAATTCATTCCGCTTCAATCAGTTACACTGGGTCTTGTTGAGCTGCTTAATAAGCAACATTGGCCCTGGCTCGCCGGTTACCACCAATGTTGTCCACAATTATCGAGTTTGGGGTGTTCGCCATACGTTAAGTATCTATCGATGCGGTGGTGTATATATCAACACGATGACGAGGTGCTTAGTTCGGTGTATATCAACACGATACCCAGGATCTATTCGACGTAATAAACTATCGATAGACTGTCCAGTACGTGTTTACACTGTAAAGTCACTACAATAGCTCTTCATACGCATTCAGTCCGGCGGATGCCGTCAAAATACACAAGTGTAGATTTACACTGAGCGAAAAATAGCATTTTTCGACACATGTGCGGAAAAGTACCGCCGAACAAAACTGTTTTCACATATATCACGAGTTATTCGTCACTTTTCGCCGGAAAGGTACACCATTACACTCAAGTAGAAACATTTAAATTTCTCTCAAAGGAAAAGAGAATAACGATTCGGACTTTTTTATTATTCAAGACTGTGCAATTCTAGATTACAACCTGGGGAAAATTTCCGAAAGTACAGGGTGAAAATGATTTTCGGAGGGAAATCAGAGGGACTGTACAGAAGATTGGAGAAGAGTGATTGCAGGGTGTGTTGAACTTTTTCTCCCCAATTTAGAGACCGCATTTTTTCGTTGCAAGCTTTTAATTATTTCTTAACTAATTAATAATCGATTGGAGCGGTGGGGAAGGAAAAAATGGAACAATCTAAACGCCGGTTCATCACTCTCGTTTGATCGATTTTAGTGGTCTCTCAAAATGCGTATTTTGTATTTCTTTTTAACGTCAATATGTTGTGTTAGTGCTTGAAAGGAGAATGGATGAAGACTTGGCGGTTGACCGTTAGAAACGAAAAGCTACATAAAAGTAGAGAATTCGTGTGATGCGACCGGTTGCTTCAAAAGAGGAATTCAACTTTTTTGGTGCGACGAGTCTCTTGGATAATTCATGGGAGTACCCGTCCTCTCTGAACCTCTTCTACACTTTTTACGTGCCCCTCTTTCCGTGTTTCTTGCCACATCCCTTCTGCTGTCCACAGAGGAAAAA